GGCATTATCAGTCAGAACAATTGGTATTTGTTGATGAGTCCGCGAAAGATAAAAGATCTATAATACGAGGTTATGGCTATTCGCAAATCAATACTCGGGCAGCAAAAAAAGTTGTATTTGTGCGTGGTACACAATTCACAATTTGTCCAGCTATAACGTTGCAGGGGATAATCGCTGTTGACATAGTGAAAGGCAATTTTACAAAGCTTATATTTAAAGATTTTATTATAAATAAAATTGTATGTGCAATACTAACTATAATTAGTGTTAACTAATTTTTAATAAATTATTAGCTAATGCTTTATTTTATCTTAGTTGCCTCAAATGAATTCTTACCCTCATCCTAATAGTGTTCTGATTTTAGATAATGCGCGCATTCATCATAACGATGGGTTGCTAGAATATCTAAATGCATTTGGAGTATGTGTAGAATTTCTTCCAGCATACTCACCAGATCTCAATCCAATTGAGACTGCATTTTCTGTAATTAAAAACTATTTACAACGATATAGGTACTTTGTTGAGAGCTCACATGACCCAAAGTATCCTTTATTAGTAGCATATACACAAATTTTACCAGAAATGGCAAAAAAATTTTATGAAGCTTCAGGATACAAATAAAAATTTCAATGTACTAAAAATGGAAATGTATACTATTGCTATTTGCTTGGTAATTAATTGAATAAACTCTATTAACTGCTTCATTTTTAATATTTAAAGAATTTAAAGTATATAGAAAAAAAATGTAATTGCGGGGTAACTTTAACAACGTATTTGTACTGGATAGTTATGTATACATCTATTACTACTTACCACACCAATGTCACTTCATCAATAATCAGAAAACTATATTTTTTGAATCTTTAGCATGATCAAATATGAAAAACAAATCTCGAGTACTCAGAACTAAATACAACATAATGGCTAAGAATATTTTAAATAATAATAATATATGTATATATATATTCTCACGTGATATTGATTCGATAAAGAACCTAAAGAAATCTTTGTTTAACAAACCATCATAAACTGGTCTTGCGCCCGCTAAAGCATTGCCATCATAGATAGCTTCAAGTTGTTAAAAAACTCTTCTGTTCAGTGAAGGAGGAACATCTGGCGTTATAGTAGCATCATAGTGTATTATACTGCCTTCTGGTAGGGAGGTAACTTCAAAGAAATTTGTACAGACGCATGTGGGTCTATCAGAAGAACCAAAACCAGGTCGTCTAGTGAATTCGATTAATAGTGCAGCCATGTATATAGTTAAGAATGTGAAAGAAATAACAACACTTGTCGAAAGCTTATCAATTCATTCGAAGGAATGTTGAAAGTGTGGGAGACAGATCATAGAAAACAAGAAATAGATTTTTTGAGTGGCTTACGTAAGCAATATTGTATACAACCACAAACTAGATTTTTATCTTGTTTAAAAACAAAATAATTGGCTACAAATAATGGATTATCTGTGTAATAAATGACTTGTATACATACTTTAGAATAATATTGGATCATTCGTTGAGCTTTTCAGTGAAAAACAAATGCAGAATTTTTTTAAGAACTTTTTTTAATAAGAGAGACAAGTTATATAAAAGTGAAAAAAATAAAAATCCTTTTTATTAATCATGTTGATATAAGACTAACAAAAACAAAATTCTAGCTTTTCAACCTTTTTTGCAAAACTAGTATCTTCTAAAAGAAAGATATACTTTTACTTTTGTAATATGAATTATTTTATCTTAAGTGTCATAAATAAATAGAATGCTTACCCAGCCGTCTATATGATAGACTTTATTTTTTAATGAAAAAATAAAGTTATTTTGGCAATTAGGCTATACAAACTTAATAAATCGGTTCTCATAACCCGACAGGATCAAAATTTACCAAACTCAAAAAAAATTTCAGGTATACTTACTATCCAGGTAAGTTTTTTAAAAAAATATATAAAAAAATTTTATATGTTTTTTATATACAGTATAAAATTTTTTGAAAATAAATTAAAAGCCGAGTTGCCAGGTAACTATTAAAAATTTTGTGTTATGAGAACTGATTTATTAAGTTTGTATGGTCTTACTATACCCTTTTATTCTTTCACGCAATTAAACTATACTCACCAAGTTTCTTTCAATATTATTATTGTCCTTATATTTATAGATATAACAGTATTTCCTTCATATTGCATAAATTTCAAAATGATTCATGGTAAATCCGTCTCTAGTTTTCCGAAGAAGTAATTTAAATTCATATGGGTTGTTTCATACATTATAAGCAGTAGTGTTTCTATTCTTTATTAATAATAGTTGAAAATGGTTAGTTGGTAATTCTAATTTTAAATACGAGGTTGTAGAATTGCTGAAGTAACCTTGTAATCAGGTGATAAAAAAGACTTTTATTATAATCAGAAAACCAATTTCAAAAAACTATTGTTAAGTTATGATATCGATTCAATTGAATTCATACAAAATTATTTTATTATGCATATGGAAGTTACATACAAATTATTTGATCACACTGATTTAAAGTCAAGCTAGTATTTTTTGCAAAGTTTTAAGCATTTCCTAGATTATTGTAATCAAGTTTCATAAAGTCATAGCAATATTTTTGTGAAAATTTTTGCTGATACTTATCCTTCTTCAAAACCTAACATTAGCGCAATAATGTAAGATTTTATATACAAATATCAACCTTGGATACAACTATATTACCTACATTCATGATGCTTGAAAATTAGAGGTATTCTGAAAAATTTCAGCATAGTCATGCAAAGTTCGCCGAGCACCAATTATATCTACACCACACTGCTTGAATTCTTCATCGGATAATCTTCCTAAGTGCTTCACTGAAATTTGCTGTTTTTCAAACTCAAATAAAAAATTTTGATAATATCAGTTAGTATCTTCTTTTTCATCTACTTTCCTCAAAAATTCAGCCATTGTCGGTGTGATAGTTGGAAAACCCCTATTTTTTTGAAGTTGAAAAGGAATAAATTGTGATTGTAATTGGTACGGGTTAAAAGGCGCTGAAAATGGCTGAAAAGCTGAAGGTCCATAAGTCCAATTATTTTGTGATGGTTGAACGAATAGCGTTTGTAGTAAAGCTTGTGGTAAAGCTTGTGATAATAGAACTAACAGAGTTTGCGATGATGATAATGATGTTGGTGCTTGCAATGATGAGAATAAAGCTGTTGACGTTTGCAATGATGATAATGAAGCCGTAGGTTCTTGCGATGTTGATAATGGTTCTTGTGAAGAAGATAATGGAGAAGAATGTAATTTTTTTGATATCTTGGTACGAGAAAAAAGGGAATGTGTCAGGAGGTCTTTAGTCGTAGCCAACCCTTTATTCTATATATATATATATAAATACTGCATAAAATCATATGTAATTTTGTAATTTATTTTTTGTGTTAATAGAATTTATCATATCCGATGCCCATATTGAAAGCATCATAAAAGTAATTTCAACATGTAAATCCTTATTGCTTTCTTTGTTAAGACAAGGTCAGTTGTGTATATTGCAATGATACTCTTTTCGAATTTCCAATACATTCTCAGTAATTTTTTTATCGTGTAGGGATAAGGAAGAAGTACAGTATGTGGGACCTTATTACTATTTTTATGATTTACAGGAGATTCTTTTTCTTTATTATTGTCATTCAAATTTGCATTCTGCGTACGTCGTATACAATTTTGAAATTATATTGTTTGATATATATGGTTAATATGATTTTATTTTTAGTAACTCTAATCACTATTTTTCAAAATTCTGTGTAACTACATAATTAGCACCTAATTGCGATCGATTCTGTAATCGATCTCACAATTAGGCGCTAATTGTATAGGAACACAGAATTTTGAAATTACCTTCTTTTGCTTTGTTTGAGAAGTTGCTTGCACGATTGTTATCCCTTAAATTGTAATACAGGCAAATTTGCCTGCGTTTATTTTTTTAAACTTTATTTTTTTAATAAAATCTT